TGGCTATATATATATATGTATATATATATATATATTTTAGAGAATGGTGGATGCCACACTTGCTGTGCTCAGCTCTTATTCCTGCCTGGGACCATATGGCAGTAACCTACCCACTGCACTATCTCTCTGGCCCCTTCCTCTACATATTTTAAAAATGAAATATTCAGGGGCTGGAGAGATAGCACAGAAGGCAGGGCACTAGCCTTGCCTGAAGTCAACCCAGGTTTGATCCTTGGTACCCCATATGGTCCCCTGAGCCTGCCAGGAGTGATCTCTGAGTACAGATCTAGGAGTAAGTCCTGAGCACTGCTGGGTGTTGCTTAAAAACTAAAAATAAGACAATAATAAAATGACTTTCTACATAATAAAATTTTATTTCAGAATATTTACATAGTAGCTTACAAAGGCATATGAAAAATGTAAATTAAAACTGGTTGTCATAAGGCTAAAATAGAATTAATTTTAGATTTGATGTATTTATACTTGGTAAGCATGAAGACTCTGGGGCCAGGAATGTGGCTTGCATGCATGAAATCTGGGTCCAACCCCTCGCACACACACAAAAAGACAAACAAAATGAAAAGAATAAAGACTTCCTAGCTGGTTTTAAATATAGATCTTTCTCAGTTTGACTATACAAACTGAAATCATGCAAAGCAGTTCCGATCTAGGAGATTTATAATCTATAACTATTCTATGACCTTAAATATGTCAAAATATTTTAAAAAACTCTTCAGATTAATTATAAATGTAAAAAATGGTAAAACTAATACTTAAAACACTAGAAGTACTAAAATGATACTTTCTTTCTTTATTTAGAAAAAATTCAAGAGTAGATTGACCTATGCTTGTTTTCTTACCATCACTTAAATTTACCATCACAAAGCAGCATCTTTTCTAGCCCTTGGAAAATTATCAGGCTCATTCATTAAGTTGGATCAGCTCCTAATATTCTAGCTTCTGCTCTTTCAATGCCATGAAATATCTGAGAGTTCCTTTGATGTAATGTGTCTGACTGGTATCACTTCCTGAGGCATGATCTTTACGACACAGCTATTTTATTCATATCTCTACATTGACTTTGACAAGCTCCTTGGCTGCATACTCAGAACTGCTTCTTAAATAGTGACCGTGTCACCATCCCATGACCATCCCACAGCTTCTATTACACCATTAGATTACCTCTGAAAGCTGCAAGGTTTTGATTTTTTGCATAGAAAAAAAATCTCACATTACTGTGCAAAGCAAGTACTACCTATATTCTTGGAATCCAAATGCTAATTTCTCAAGTGAGCTCACCGTTCCACTAATTGATAACATTAATCAATTAATGTCAACTTCTAAAGGTGATGAAATCAACCTTTACTGGCAGTAAAATTTTCTTTTTCAGTTCCTTGCAATTACCATAATAGCAACTAACTTCAATGCTTTGATCTGAATATCAGCCAAAGTAATTGTGATTTATTTCTTGATTGTATTCATCAGTCCAAAGTAGAAGTAAATGTTCCATTTCAACCACCACTGGTTTCCTGTTCCTAGTACAACTGAAACTAAAAGATGTTGAGGCAACCTGACCTTGTTTTTTTATATCAGTCTTCAGACTTTAGGTCCTATTCTATCTTTGCTTCTCTCTATCTTGAAATCTAGTAACCACATCCAGTTTCACTTCAGGTGTTATCAGCTTTCATTTCTTTGAGGATCTGTCATTTTTGTTTCCTCTTTTAATTATGATTTTTGTAAAAATGTCACATGTGTTTACCATTGGGTGACAAGGAGACAATAGAAAATATTTTACTGTATGTCTTTGAACTAATGGATGATGAGTGAATAATTCCCAACTGACTGAAAATTATGAATGTAACTGATTCTTGAAAATAATGCACAACTTTTATTGACATCATAGTTTGTGGACTAACAAGCTAGCTAGCAACAAAGTTCATGCAGCAATTCAGTTAATATGTTAACAGTTCAACTGCATCATTGAATATTATTTAAACTGTGAAAAATTGATATCCATGCATATTGAAATTATGCAAAGCACTCTACCCACTCTTCTATCATTCCAGCCCTGTTCAAATTATTTTATCTTGGGTAATTCAGCGAGCTTTCGAGTTCCTTTTCTTCCTTTTTTACAATAAGAGCATTGAGTTATATCAGGGAGGAGTTTGGAGATATTACAGTGGTTAGGGCCATGTCTAGCATGCACCTGATCTTTCTTCAGTTTCTGACACCACATGGTCCCTGAGTAATGGTCAGTAGAGCTCTGGAGGCAGGTATTCCTGACATTGAAGGATCTTAGTTTCATTGCATCCTTGAGTCCTTGCACTGAATTGCTGGCCTGGTTGACCAAAAATCACCAGCACCCCTCCCCACAAAAGAGTAAAGTTAGGGTTCCTCAATTTTTTTTCAAATTGAGTCACGAGATTCACAATTACAATGCTGCTCGTGCTCCGGTTTCAGTCATACAATATTCCAATACCTATCCCTTCACTAGTGTACACTTCCCACCAACAATGACCCCACCTTCCCCTTCCATCCCCTCTGCCCCCAGCCTTTCTCTGGCGTTTTTCTTCTCTCTCTCTCCTTCTCTCTCTCCTTCTCTCTCTCTCTCTCTCTCTCTCTCTCTCTCCCCCCCTCCCTCCCCTTTTGGGCATAACGCTTTGCCATACAGATACTGAGAGGTTATCATGTTTGTTCCTTAAGCTACTTTCAGTGCACAGATCTTATCCAGAATGATCTTTTCCAACTATCACTGACATAGTTGTCTCTTCTCTATCCCAATTGCCTTCTCCCCCAGAACCTTAGGCAGGCTTCCAACCATGGACCAAACCACCTGGCCCTTGTTTCTACTGTCCTTGGGTATTAGTCTCGTACTATGATTTTTTTTTTATGTCCCACAAATCAGTGCAATGTGTCTTTTCCTGTTATTCTGACTCATTTCACTCAGCATGAATACCCTCCATGTCCATCCATTTATAAGCGAATTTCATGACTTCATATTTCCTAAGAGCTATGTAATATTTCATTGTGTAGATGTACCCTAGTTTCTTTATCCAGTTACAATACCCGGTTTCTAGCTTCTGGCTATTGTGAATAGTGCTATAATGAACATAGAAATGCAGATGACATTTCTGCTGTGTATTTTTGTGCTTCCAGGATACATTCCCAGAAGTGGTATTGCTGGGTCACACGGGAGCTCAACTTCCAGTTTTTTGGGTCCTTCAGTTCTTTCTTTTCTTCTTCTTCTTCTTCTTCTTCTTCTTCTTCTTCTTCTTCTTCTTCTTCTTCTTCTTCTTCTTCTTCCTCCTCCTCCTCCTCCTCCTCCTCCTCCTTCTTCTTCTTCTTTAGCCTATTTTTTTTACACACACAAATTTCAAAAATTCTCTAAACTTTTTAGGAATTTAAAGATAAAGGCACTCCTTTTTATCATGACTCTTATACCCCTTGCTTGATATTCTAATCACCTTTCAGCTACTGAATACCATGAGTTTTGCTGGGCCATTTGCAAGGACATGAAAACAATATCAAGAGCAATTTTTTCACCTAATTAATTCTGAATAGTCTCTCTCAGGGTTTGAAGTCCCTGGGGGAATTGAAACTGTCCTGGGAATAACCTTGCTGAACCCAGTTTCACAGTAAAGAAGGTAATCAGAGTGAAGTCAGTCAGAAGGAAAGAGAGGTATGGAATGATCTCTCTCATAGGCGGGACTTAAAGATACACAGGAAGGTAACAATAAGGGGCCAAAGGCAACACGATGGGAGAAATGAACTGAATCCACTGGGGGTTTGTGATGAAAGTTAGCGGTGTTGGGATCCTTAGGGGAGCCGGGTAGGTACACTGGTGTGGGTTAGGTATTGGAATTACGTACATGGGGAAACCGTCATTAAACATACTGTAAATCACAAAACCTCAATTAAAAAAAAGTTTTAAAAGAAGAGATTAGGGGCTGGAGTACAGCGGATAGGGCGTTTGCCTTGCACACGGTCAACCATGGGTTCAATTTCCAGCATTCCATATGGTCCCCTGAGTACCACCAGGAGTGATTCCTGAGTGCAGAGCCAGGAGTAACCCCTGCGCATCGCTGAGTGTGACCCCAAAAAAGCAAAATAATAATAATAATAACAATAATAATAAAAGATTAAAGAAAGAAAAAAATAAATCAGTGGAGGTACATGAGCAATAGTACAGCAGGCATCGGTGGTTATCTTCCACAAGCCGAACTGGGTTCGATTCCCGGCATCCCATATGGTCTCCTGAATCAGGATTGATTTCTGAGTGCAGAGCCAGAAGCAACCCCTGAGCACCGCCGGGTGTGGCTCAAAAACAGAAACAAAACCAAATCAGTGGAAAATAAAAATCAGCCCATCCAAGGTAATCCATCTTTTGAGGAATTTGGGATTCTGGTAACAGAAAAGACTCAGAAAGAGTTCTGGCCTAATAGCCTGAAGAGAGTTTGTATTCCAGCTCAAGTCCCAACCAGCAGACAGGTGGGGAGAGATCCAATCACATAAATTCTGTGAATCTTAGTTCCTTCCTTTACATAAAGAAGGGCTATACTAGAATGGACTTCTTTCATAGCAAATTTTCAATCCGAACTTAAGGAAGAAGCTCGTAAAGAACTAATAATATTCCTTCAAGGACTAACAGCTGGAAGTGAATTCACTGCTTAGGGCTTAATGAATAGTTCCTAAGGGTCTAGGCAGTAAGAGAGCCCTAGTTCAAGGGCAACTTTCTAAAACTCTTTTGACCAATCAGGTGACTCTCCCTGGAAGTTCCGCCCCATCCCCGCCTCTCGCAGATACGTACCGCTCCAGGATTCGTGCCCAAACCCCAGAAGCCCTCCTCGTGGGCGGGACCGGGCCGCGAGCCGACGCCTACTGGTGCGTCTGCGCCCTGAGGTCGGAAGTCCAAGTTGCGCCGCACGCCCCCCGCAGACCCTCAAACCGCGCGAGATTTCCTCTCTTGCTCCGTGGCGGTGAGTGACAGGCGAGGGGCTGCGGGGCTCAGGCCAGCAAGCCCGAGGAAGCCTACACTGCAGGCTTTGGCTTCCTGACTTCCTCCGGGAGCAGCCGGGGGCGCAGGCGTTAGGACACTTTGCAGAGGGCGTGCAGGAGGAGAAGCAGCCACAGGTCTTTGTTTTTGTTTTTAAGTTTCTTTTCTTTTTCTTTTCTTTTTTTGCGCTGGCCTGGGAGGGCGGGAGTCAGCATTCTCAATTTTGGACAAAATCCGGGGCTTCGGGAACATCCAGCTCATATTTTTTTGGAGCACCGACTCTGTACCAGGCTTGGAGAGTGGACATATACCATTCATGAGAGCGAACACACGATTCCTGTCCTCTGGAGCGCTTAGTAGAGGTAGTTCGGAAATTCTGGGCTGTAGCTGTAGGCTTTTATAAAGGAACTTCCATGAGTTGTGAGGTCACTGAGATAGAGTAGAAGAGCCACGCAGGGACCAGCCACGGCGTAGCAGGGATCGAGGAGGAGGTCCTGGAGACTCACACATTTTAGTGCCAAAGCTCTTGGCTAAATGAGCCGGTGATGAGAAAGCCCAGTTGAAGGGGTGGGGAGCATGTTCAGGAAAAGACTGCCAGGGAACTTGTGTCGAGAGTCTGGCTGGGTCTCATCCTGTCCCTGACCTTTCTCTTACTCTGGGCTGCAAGGGTACCTCGTGACCTCCACCAGCGTGACTTTCCCAGTTGACTGTTGATCAAGTTTTCTTTTTTCCTTTGGTTTTTGAACCACACCCAGTGGTGGTGCTCAGGACTTACTCCTGGTTCTGCGCTCAGGTATCACACCTAGGAACCTATAGGGTGTCGGGTGTCCAACCCAGGTCACTGTCTGCAAAGCAAGCCCCTTTTCTGCTGTACTAGCTTTCCAGCTAGTTTCTTCTTTCTTTGTTGCCTTTATTTTTTTCAGTTTTGGGGTCACACTTTGTGGTCTACAGGGACTCCTTCTACAGTGCAGTGCTTGGGAGACCTTGCTGTGTCGGGAAGGAACTCAGGCCTCCCCAATGCCTGAGCTCCAGCCCTTTGAACTATCTGCCCTGCCCCGATCCTTAACACTAGCGAGGAACTCACTTGATACCATACTAGGCAAAACGGGAGGGCTTAATGTCAGTAAATAAAGACTTGCTTCTATCTTCACCCCAGTTTGGTGTGCAGAAAGCCTCACCCTATACTGCTTAGCCTTGGACACCATTGGGTATGGCTCAGAGGACAGAATATATTTGCACTGGAGAAAGAGTACAGAGGTTAAGGCTCTTGCCCTGCAAGCAGCTGTGTTTGTGACAGTGGCTTGAATCCTAACACTGCTTATGGTGCCCTGAACACTGCCATGTGTGCCCCCTCCTCCCAAACAGAACAAAACCAGCAAAAAAAAATGTAACTAGACATATTTGAATAAGTCAAAATTTGAATATGCACTAGTATTAGATAAAGTTGAGGATGGCCTTTACTATGAATTGTTTCAGGTATAATAATGGCATAGGTTTTATATTCAAAAAGCTTGTTACTGAAGATGCAGAATTGAGGAATTGTTAGGTGAAATGGGATAATGTCTGGGATTACTTTAAGTGGGAATGCAACTTTTTTTTTTTTTGGGTCACATCTAGTGATGCTCAGGAATTATGTCTGCCTCTGCACTCAGGAATTACTCCTGGCAGTGTTCGGGGCACTATATGGGATGCCGGGGATTGAACCCAGGTGGGCCACATGCAAAGCAAACACCCTACCTGCTGTACTATATTCATTTTCGGGAATGCAACTATTTAACTGGGCAACTTTCTGTTTGGAAGGAAAGAACGGATATTGAGGCCAACTAACCATTCAATGGTGAGATAATAAATATATTTAAAAAGCTAAGAAAGGGCTCTGAGATGTGGGTCTTCCTTGCATGTATGAGTCAGTGAGTTAGGTCTCTGGCACTGTCCCGTGTCACCCAACTGCAGGCCCCAGCAACACTGCCATTGTGACTCCTCAAATAAATGTTTGATCTTCTGTACACAGCAAAGAAGTGACACCTCCCACTGGGAACATTTAAAGGACAACAAGGGAAGGGGAGAGAGAAAGTAAAGAAACAACAGGGCTGGGGGTCTGGGGACATAGTACAGTGGGTAGGGTGCTAGCCTTGCACCTGGCCAACCCAGGTTCCATTCCCCAGTCCCCCAGCCCCAAATGGTCCTCCTCCCCTGCTAGAACTGATACCTGGGCTCAGAACCTAGAGTAGGCCCTGAGTATTGCCAGGTGTGGTCTGAAAACCAAACCAAAACAAAAAAGCAGAAACTCCCAAAAAAAGATCAAAGAAGCAATGCGTTGCAGATTCTTATGTTATTTTAGGGAATGCCATTAGCATCAGACATGTTATTTTTTAATTAATTTTTTATTGAGGTTACATCGATTGACAATACTGTCACTGTCACTGTCTTCCCATTGTTCATCGATTTGCTCGAGCGGGCCCAGTAACGTCACCATTGTGAGACTTGTTACTGTGTTTGGCATATTGAATACGTCACAGGTAGCTTGCCAGGCTTTGTCGTGCTGGTATGATACTCTCGGTAGCTTGCTGGGCTCTCCGAGAGGGGCGGAGGAATCGAACCCGGCTCGTCTGGGCTGGCAACACCCTACGGCTGTGCTATCGCTCTAGCCCGTGATTGTATAGTGATTAGTACTCTGTGTTGTGACAATACTATTATTCCTAATTGGCACTGCTTTCTAGTTCTTCAAATATATGTTACCATATTTTTCCCAAAGCACCAATATGTCTCCATCTGCTGTAGTCCATTAGACCCCCTCCACCCTTGCAATCTCCTTCCCCATGCTAATCTGAGATCAGAACCAAGTGATCGCTTTCACTTGGTTTTTATTCCCTTTGAGTCTTTATATCCTTCATATGAGTGAAACCACTCATTGTTTGTTGTTTTCCTTCTGGCTTACTTAGCATGCCATGTGTCCCTCCAGCTCCATCCCTGTTCGAGCAAAAGGCAAGGTTTTTTTCTTGTAGTGTTCCGTTATGTCTAAATAAAACACATCTTTATCCATATGCATATTACTGGGCACTTGGCTTGTTTCCACCTCTTGACTATTGTAAGTAGAACTGTAAATGAATGTATGTAGGAGTTAGATCAATGCTTTTGCGTCCTTGGATAGATATGTAGGACTGGGATTGCTGGGTCTTATGGTAGATCTATTTTGAATATTTTGAGAAGGCCCTGCTCTGCTTTCCATAAGATTGAATCAGTTTATGGTGTATAACACTATAACTCACCAGCATTTGTTGTTTCTGACGAAACAACAAATGGGAAAGCTGTGTGGAGCAAGGGACTGAATTTAGGATTCACACATGCTAAACATATGATTTACCACTTACGTCATATTCCCACCCGCTGCCTTCCCTTCCTTCCTTCAGTGCTTGAAGGACATATGGGAGGACCAAAGGACCATGTGTCCCTTATGTCTCAAACCCCTTTTCAAGTTTGTTTTGATATGAGCATTTAACAGAAATTGCCCATAATTGACCGTGTGCGTATCGGTCAATACCATCTTTGACAAAGTCTCTGTTCAGTTATTCTGTCCTTTTTGGTTGTTTTTGGCCAGTACTGTGCTGGGGACCATGCAGTATGAGGGATTGAACTGGGATTGGCTGCATACAGGGGAAGTGCCTTAACCCCGTACTGTCTCTCCAGTCCCTCTTTTATTAACTCGGATTGTAAACACAGAATAAGCGGACCCTTTATTTGTTTAGCCTTTCTATGGCTGGAGTGATAGCACAGCGGTAGGATGTTTGCCTTGCACGCAGCCAGCCGGGCTGAGCCGGGTTTGATTCCTCCGCCTCTCTCGGAGAGCCTGGCAAGCTACCGAGAGTATCTTGCCTGCACAGCAGAGCCTGGCAAACTATCCATGACATATTGGATATGCCAAACACAGTAACAAGTCTCACAATGGAGACGTTACTGGGCCTGCTCGAGCAAATCAATGAACAACGGGAGGACAGTGTTTGTTTGTTTGTGTTCTATATTAAATAACTTCCTATAAGGTGATGATTTAATTTAATTTGTTTATTTTACTGTTGGTGCTCAGGGGCTAATCCCAGTTTTGTACTGGGAGAGAGGGGACTGGGTGCTGCTCCTAGAAGTGCTCAGGGGCTCATTCAATGCTGGAAATTGAACCTGGGCTTCCTGCAAGTAACACATGCACTTACCCTGAACCACTTTGTCTCTAAAGTGATAATGTTTTTGAGGTGCTACTCTTGTAATCAGCAAAACTACAAATAATTTCCATTTTGATAAAGGAAAGAATTTTTGAAAATTTGATTACATTTCATTTAAGCAGCTAGTGTTTTTATTTTGCCTATTGGATTAGTTGTCTAGCTCTGGAGTATATCATGTTGTTTTCTTTCAATCAAGCCACAGTAGGATACTTTCTCATGATGGCATATAAAAGTGAGTGTGATTGAATCATATGAGACCAGAAACATTTTGCCCCATTCAGTTTTCAATAAACTTTTTTTTATTAACCAAAAATTAGATTTAGAGGTCAGAGAGATAATACAGCTGGTAAGGCAATTCCCTTGCACATAGCTGACCTGGGTTTGACCCATGACACAGCATAAGGTCCCCTGCTTGGACTGATCCCTGAGTATGAGCCAGGAGTCTGCCCTGAGCACTGACTGGTATGGGTCCCCTAAAAAAAGAAATTAGACTTTCTTTTTGTATTTGTTTCAGGGCCATTTTCTGATAGGAGACACTATCATTTTTGGACTTTAAGTATTCATTTTTTCCTTGTTCAGAAATACAAGTAAAAGGTAAAGGCCCTCCCGTTGATCGTCGATTTGCTCGAGCGGGCCCAGTAACGTCTCCATTGGAGACTTTGTTGTTACTGTGTCTGGCATATCGAATACTCTCGGCAGCTTGCCGGGCTCTCCGAGAGGGGCGGAGGAATCGAACTCGGGTCAGCCATGTTGGCCGCGTGTAAGGCGAACGCCCTACCCGCTGTGCTATCGCTCCAGCCCCAGAAATACAAGTGTTCTGCTTTTTAAAAAATCGTAAAAGCTCTTGTTTATTATCTTAAAAAAATTCTGTTCACAGGACTGGTTTTATACAGATCTTTCTGAGACCACTGGACAAACAAGGCAATGATTGTACAGAGAGTGGTATTGAATTCCCGTCCTGGTATGTACCTGTCTGTGATAGATGAACATCTCTGATCTTTGATACTATAAGTACAAATGGAGGGACAAAGAGTAATATGATGTCAACGTGGGAAATTATAGTAGGAAGACACTAATTTAGATAGTAGAATATATGTATATATATTATTTATAGTGTGTTTGTGTGTACACGTGTGCTACATCTAGCTGTTTTTCAGGGCTTATTCCTGACTCTGTGTGCAGAGGTTGGCAGTGTTCACTCTTGGAAGTGCTCAGGAAACTATATGGGATATCAGGGATCTAACTGGAACTGGCTGAATGCAAGACAAGTGCCTTAACCCGTGTACTATTTGTCCAACCCCTAGAGTATCTTTTGAAAGAATAATAAGTAATTGTATAGGAAAGTGACTTTTTTAATTTATATTTTTTGTTTACTGTTTCAGGGAAAAATGGCAATCCAGTGGCAGAAAATTTTAGAATGGAAGAAGTAAACTTGCCTGATAATGTCAACGAAGGACAAATAAAAGCTAGAACTCTTTATCTTTCTGTGGATCCTTACATGGTAAGAATTAGGCTTTTTGTGACAGTGAAAAATAATTTTACTTTTGTGAGATTTCACATTACACATGAGTTTTGTTGTGTAGACCTCATGATTAATATTTGAGTCTTCATGTCTCGGTGCCTGTGAATGACATATTTCCTTTGTTTTTATTCATGTTATTAAGGAATTTTGTAGATGAATGCTTTTGTAATAGTAGCATGTGTGATTAATCAGTTTCTTCCAAATGTCTAGATTAGTCAGCCTTTTTCCAACTTGGGGCCTCTTTCTGAACTTGTTTCTTTCCTGTCACCCTCCTTCTATCGGTCGGCCCCCTAGGCTTGTGCTGTGGTCTCCACGAACTTGGTTTTCATCTGTGAGCCCCTTGGCATATCCTGGGTGGCCACAGGGAGCCATCTGGCCCCCATATTGAGAAGTACAGGTCTAGATCACTTCCCAGTATAAGTAAAACTTGAAAATACTTCATCCATAGCAGAAATTCTCTCAATTGACCTGTTTTATCAGATAAACTCTATGCTAGACTTTTGTTCTAGTTGGGTCTCTTTTTGAAAGGCGTAGACTCACCTCTGGTGCTCTAAAGGAGATTTATTGATGGCTGGAGAGATAGTACAGGGATGCTTGCCTTGCACATCTTCGACCCTGGTCTGATTCTTGACACCATCTAAGGTCCCCTGAGCCCTGCCAGGAGTGACCCCTGAACATAGAGGCAGGAGTAAGCCCTGCACACCACTGGGTGTGACCCCAAACACAAAACAAAAAAGAAATTCTGCCTACGCCCCCAGCCTAGCATGGGCTGCGTCTAGGGGTCCGCCTGCACACACCTGCGCTGCCACAGCCTGGCTGCCCCATCACCTGGCATGCATTCGGCGGGGAGGGGCCCCCACACTACCCGTGGCTCTTCTGCATTGGCCTGCACTCAGCACCCCGCTTCTTGGTGGCCCTGACCTACTGGAACCCCTCCATCAGTGGGGACACTCTGGTCCTGGCTGCCTACTCTGCCAATGTCAGCTTCTGTCTCAGCGTTGTCAGGCGCCTCCCGCTGGTAGCACTCACCCAGCTCTCCTGTTCCAGGGGGCTTCCCCTGCCACAAGGACTTAGTGAGCTTCGTTAGGTTCACTGCTGCTTGCCTCGGCCACATGTTCCTCATTCGCGTTCTCTGTAGCTGACCAAGAGGTACCCAGTCATCCCTGAGCATTCACCATCCCCGCCATCTCAGAATATGCTGCTTCTGACCAACGTGGCACCCCAAAGAGAACCTGGGGGGAACTTCAAGAACAAGGAGATAACAGTTATCCGCCACCCTGAGGAAAAGCCGTTCTGAATCCTTCTCTTCTGCCAGGGAGGAGGGGGTCCACTGCCCAGAACGCAGAAACAAGATGTCACTCTGGCCTTTCCCTTCCCCTGTCTTCTCTCTGCCCTGTTGAAGCTGGGCAGGGGGAGAGGGAGGAAGGGCATAGTGCAAGGATTGCCCCAGATCTGCTGGCTTCTCTTCTCCCTCAGCCTCCTTGAGGATGGCCCAGGGGCCTTCAAGCAGCAGCATCCTCACTGGAGAGGCCTCAGGAAATGGATCTAGCAGGAGAGCTCCACCCTCCGGTGCTAAGAAAAAGGCACGAGGTTCATAACTGCCATTGGTTCTAGGCCTTTCCATAGCCACCTCTTATTGAAGTTAGGGACCACCAAGCAGTGGCCATTTCCTGACAGCCACTGCCACTTCTCTCGGAGTCATCCATTTGACCGACATGTCTATGTCTACTGCGCATGTCCAGGCCTGTAGCCACAGACCCTTCTCAAGTTGCCAAAGGGTTCTAGTGCCGACTGCACCTCTCCCATCCTCATTCAGTGCATGTTCATCTTTCTCTACGCCCCACTCTGTCCGTGCAGGTACTGCTGGGTGAGTGGACTACAACTTCCAAGGGCTTTGGAGCTGACTTGGACATCATCATAATCAGATGCAGTTCAGTGCCTGAAGGACATCCAGACTGGAAAGGACACTTTGATCTTGTTCCCTTCCCTTCTGCCACCTCTGGCTTATAGATGCGCCCTTTGCAAAGGTGTGGGGTGAAGGAGTTCCCAAGTAGATTCCAGCCCCCAATTGGACTCTCTGATATCTCCACCCTCCAACAATCCCCCCCACTCTCCCATGGTTGTGCATCTTATTTCCAAAGAAAAGTTTAAAAACAAAATTTAGCCAAAAACAAAACTTTCACAATCTTGTGTTGCCATCAACGCTTTTCTTTTTCTTTCTTGCTTTTTTTAAAACCTAGTACCTAAGGTTATAACATTATGTCTTTTTATAGTCACTGGGTAAATGAGTAAACATGTTCAGTGTTATCTGAAAGAATTATCCTAATTAGTATTTTCTTTGTTTAGCGTTGCAGAATGAATGAGGACACTGGTGCTGATTATCTAACACCCTGGCAGCTGTCTCAAGTCACTGATGGCGGAGGTATTGGGATTGTAGAAGAAAGCAAACACACACAGTTTACTAAAGGAGATTTTGTGACATGTTTTATGTGGCCCTGGCAAACCAGGGTTATTCTGGATGGAAATGGTCTTGAAAAGGTGAGGTATATAAAGTATCTGATATCCCCCCTATAATTCTTGTTGTTTTGGTTCTGTTTTTGAGTCATACATGGTAGTGCTTAGATAACTATTCTCAGCTCTGCGCTCAGGGGTCACTCTCACAGTGTTCAGTGGACCATGCGATTTACTCTCAATTCTGTGCTTAGGGATCTTTTCTGGCTCTGTTCTCATAGATCATTCCTGGTGGGGCTCAGGGGAACAATTGATCATATGTGGTGATGGGTTAGTCACGTGCAAGCCAAGCACATTAGCAGCTGTACTATTCTTGCCATTTTAATTTCTTTGCAGCAATTTAACTACAAATCAAACCAACGGGGTAAATCTTACTTTCGGTGTAATTATCTTTTTATAAAATTATTCAAGTCCTTAAAGATTGTTGGGCTGGAGTGATAGCACAGCAGGTAGGGTGTTTGCCTTGCACGCGGCCGACCCGGGTTTAATTCCTCCATCCCTCTTGGAGAGCCCAGAAAGCTACTGAGAGTATCCTGTCTCCACGGCAGAGCCTGGCAAGCTCCTTGTGGCGTATTCAATGTGCCAAAAACAGTAACAACAAGTCTCACAATGGAGACATTACTGGTGCCGTTTGAGCAAATCGATGGAACATCTGGAGGACAGTGCTACAGTGCTTAAAGATTGTTATAAAACCTTTACTGTTGTGTTTATATCTTTTTAAAACTCTTGGCTGGTAAGAAAGTAGACAGGGTACCAGAGACGTGATTAAGCAGGGAATCATATGTGTGTGGCCCTGGCTTCGGTCCCCCAAGTGCACATATACATGTACAAATATACAAATATAGCCACACATGGGAAATATAAAAGAAGAAAAATTGATAGGACATGGTAAAGATAAATGTAAAATATTTAAAAGTTTAACAGACACTTCTTTTTATTCTGTAAAATACAAGAAATTACATTAAACCACCTTCTTTATAATTTTATGTTACATGAAATTATAATGAGAACTGTTAAGTTACGGTCATGGTCCTCCCGTTGTTCATTGATTTTCTCGAGCGGGCCCAGTAACGTCTCCATCGTGAGACTTGTTACTGTGTTTGGCATATCGAATACATCATGGGTAGCTTGCCAGGCTCTGCCGTGCGGGTGAGATACTCTCAGTAGCCTTCCGGGCTCTCTGAGAGGGGCGGAGGAATTGAACTCGGGTCGGCCATGTTGGCCCTTGTAAGGCAAACGCCCTACTGCTGTGCTATCGCTCCAGAACTGTTAAGAGTTCAATTTATTTTTATATAGGTAAAGTATCTACTTTGGAATTGCTTGGAGTTTTTTTTTTTTTTAAATTTTGGGGCCACCCCCACTGGTGCACAAGGCTATTCTGAGCTTGGTGTCAGAGTTGCTCCTGACCGTGCTTGAAAGATCAGAAAGATCAGTGGGAGTGTTGCGGATCAAACCCAGGACTCTTGCATGCAAAGCAGAACCCTTTAAACCATCTTCCCGGCCCCACTAGTTTTTGTATTTTACTTTTTGGCTTTGCGTAATCAATTATAGAAATTTAGCAAGCCTGAAGAATGGTGTGCCATTCTAAGCTATATTAGCCATTATTCTACTTAAGCTACCATGGAGGCAGTACTACAGAAATGTGTTTTCCTACAGTTGTGGAAAACTGAAGTCTGCGACAGAGGTTCTGAAAATGGCTTTCAGCAGAAACTTCTCTTCAGCTTGCAGAAGGCTGACATTTGGCTATATCCTTAGATGAGCAGGGAAAAAGGAGCTGCAGATATCTCCTCTTAAGGACACCAGTGCAGCTGGGATTGGTCCCTCTATGACTTCGTTAAGCTTTTAGTATCTATTTAAAAGTTTTGTCTTCATGCTGGAGATTGAACAGATGATTGTTGGGGTGGGGGCGTCTAATTCTAATCTCTACCTTGTGTTAAATCAGAAACTCCTAGTACTGTTTTTAAAAAGGTCTGTGTTTTATTTTAGGTAGATCCAAGACTCGTGGACGGGCACCTGTCATACTTCCTTGGAGCTATAGGTATGCCTGGTCTGACTGCCTTGCTTGGCGTACAGGAAAAAGGTCATATCACTGCTGGATCGAACCAGACCATGGTTGTCAGTGGGGCGGCTGGTGCCTGTGGATCCTTGGCTGGGCAGGTAAGCTTTTTATTTTAAAAAATAATTACTTTCACTGTCACTGTCACTGTCAAAAAAAAAATTACTTAATGAAAGAGCCATGATTTAGAAAGTTACTGATCACAACGAATCACAACCATCCTGTTAATCGTCGATTGCCTCGAGCAGGCCCCAGTAACGTCTCCTTCATCCTAGTCCTGAGATTATATTCAAGGCTCTTTAGGAGAATGAGACCCATCATTGTTACTGGTATTTGGCATATTGGTACGCCACGGGGAGTTTGCCAGACTCTGCCAAAGTTACTGATAGTTGGGTTTTATGCAGACAGTATTTCAACCCCATTCCACCCCGAGTGTCAACTTCCCTCCACACTCCCTCCCGCCCCACCTTCACCTACCACCTTGACAGGCACATTTCAAAATCTGTACTGTTATTTTATACACTTCTAGTAGAAAATCACATCATTACCTGCTTAGATTCTTTTGAACACAATATAAAATATGTTAGGCTGGAGCGATCATACAGCAAGTAGGGCGTTTGCCTTGCACGCAGCTGACCTGGGTTCGATTCCTCCACCCCTCTTGGAGAGCCCAGTGAGCTACCAAGAGTATCTCGCCCGCATGGCAAAGTCTGGCAAGCTACCCGTGATGTATTTGATATGCCCAAAACAGTAACAAGTCTCACAATTTGTTGTGAGACGTTACTGGTGCCCGCTCGAGCAAATCGATGAACAACAGGAGGACAGTGCTACGGTGCTATAAAATATGTTGTGAGTTTTTGTATCTTGTTCTATATAGACGTGGTAAATGCTGGAGTATTGCTTGAATCAACATAAGAAAGAAAATCAGGTAACTGTCTGGAATTCTATTAATGAAAAAGAAAAGCACACATTTAAAGACAGCTTTAGGGGCTAGAGCCATAGTACAGCAGTAAGGCATTTGCATCGCATGCAACTAAACTAGGTTCAATTCTCGGCACCTCAAGTGGTTCTCTACCATACCCCAGGCATGATCCCTGAGTGCAGAGCCAGATGTGACCCCGAGACAAACAAAAGCAGATTCATATAAGAAAGTGCTTATTGGTTTCTAGGAATATAGTATTTTGCTAGAATTTTATAAATATTATTTTTAGAATAAGTATCTTTTAGTGTGAAACCACTGAAACACTGTATTTTAGTAGTGATTTTAATCCCTTTATAAGTCTGAAAAATAGTGAATTGCAAGATACTGGTAGTTGCAATGTGATTCTGCTTGTTATAAAACCAGCTTTAAACTATGAGACTTAAAATAATCAAGCTAAGAATGTTCTTTTTTTTTTTTCAATCTTAGGTTTGAAAAGACAGTTTTTAGAAAAAGAATGACATTTTGGGGTAGAGATTTTGCATAGGAGTAGTAGAACATGTCTCATGTTTAAAGCCCTGGGTTTGATCCTTGGTACCAAACAACAACAACAACAACAACAACAAAACACAAAAAGAGGGGCCAGAGAGACAGCATAGAGGTAGAGCATTTGCCTTGCACTCCGCCGACCTCGGTTCAATCCCCAGCATCCCAGATGGTCCTCTGGACACTGCTGGGTGTTGCCCAAACCATTAAAAAAGAAACAGTATCTATTCTCAGTTTCTTTAGTTTTAAGTTCTAACACTTGAGCTAAAAATTATTTTTTTATTGTTTAGAGGCCACAGCTGGTGTTGTTCAGGGACTGCGCTCCAGCCTGGGTTTGGGAGTAACTCCTGGTGATCAGAGGAGCACACGGCACTGGGGACCTAACCTGAGCCTCCTGCAGGCACTCTGCCTGCTGAACTGTCTTTTTGGCCCCAGGCCTTTTAATTTAACCCAATTTGTGATGAAAATTCCCTACACTTAGAGTAACTTGCATACTTCCAATTGTACTTTTTTGCTTTTAAATGTGATCAGTAGAAAATCTAATTTTCAAAAACATTCCCCTGTAGATTGGCCATTTGTTGGGCTGTTCCAGAGTGGTGGGAATTTGTGGAACACCTGAGAAGTGCCTCTTCTTGACCTCAGAGTTGGGCTTTGATGCTGCGATTAATTATAAAAAAGGGAATGTGGCAGAGCAGCTCCGTGAATTGTGCCCTGCTGGAGTGGACGTGTACTTCGACAATGTTGGTGGTGACATCAGTGATACAGTGATAAGTCAGGTTGTGTGTGGATTTGTTTCATATTTGAATATTCCATTCTATTGGACACATCCTTTTGGCTGATACTATGAAAGAAAAAACAAAACAAAACTTTGAAATTTTAAGATTTATTGTGAAAAATTGTGGTGATACCAGTATTATGGGCTGCAGCAATAGCACAGCAGGTAAGGCGTTTGCCTTGCAAGCGGCCAACATGGCCGACCCGAGTTCGATTCCTCTGCCCCTCTCGGAGAGCCTGGCAAGTTACCGAGAGTATATCGCCCTCATAACAAAGTCTGGCAATACCTGGGACGTATTTGATATGCCAAACACAGTAACAATTGTCACAATGGAGATGTTACTGGGCCCGGTCGAGCAAATCGATGAACAACGGGAGGACAGTAACAGTGACAGTGACCAGTATTATAATTCAAGGATACAGAACTTGTATTAAGCTCTTGTTGGCTTGCAGAATTGCACTGGGCATTCATTGCATCTTTGCCAGTAATATTTGTCTTTGCTCTGTAATTTATCTTTGTAAAATAATTAGTGTTGTTATTCAAATGGTGATGTTCTGGTCACTAACTCATCACTAGATAATGCTATAGCCATGGCCCCTGACTATAGACTCCATATAGATTGTAGGTATTAACATACTTTTATTGGCAATATTATAAAAAATATCAATATCACTATTTTTTTAAACTTTTATTGAATCACTGTGAGATAGACGCTTACAAAACTGTTCATGATTGGATTTCAGTCATACAGTGTTCCAACACACATCCCTCCACCAATGTACATTTCCCAGCACCAGTGTCCCAGGTTCCCTCCCATCACCCCCCACCCCCCAACCCCTGCTCAATATCACTATTATTCTTTTTTTGTTTTTTGTTTTTCTTTTTGCAATGCTCAGGGGTTCCTCCTGGTGCATGCACTCAGGAATTACTCCTGGCGGTGCTCAGGGGACCATATGGGATGCTGGGGATCGAACCCGGGTCAGCTGCATGCAAGGCAAATGCCCTACCCACTGTACTATCGCTCCAGCCCCAATATCACTATTATTCTTTACATTGTTCTTTATATCCACTGCATTGTCTTTTGCCATATGTTAAATTATTTGCAATTGAAGTTTATTTAAATCTAAAGAGTTAATCTACTATTACTAATAAAAGGAATGACTCAGGGACTGGATTGATACAGCGGGTAGGACACTTGCCTTGCATACAGTGACCTAGCTTTGATCCCCAGCACCCCATATACTCCCTTGAGTCTTCTGGGAGTGATACCTGAGCACAGAGCCAGGAATCAGCCCTGAGCACAGATGGGCATGGCCCTCAAACAAAAACCAAACAAGCAAAAAAGGAACACACAATGACTATAGCTAATTTATTTGCTGTTGATTGATTTAGCTTTGTTTCTTTTGATTGAACTTACTGTCTAGCAAACTGAATCTCTTAAATACAGATGGATGAATCTACAAAACAAAAATCAATTAATTGGCACTAAGTTAAGATGGCTTTCACTGAAGCAGCCATAAAATCAGTAAACATAGTAAAGGCTCATATCGATGCCCATGTGACTAAGCACCTATGGTTCCCAAGCACATGTGTTGCCTACATCTTCTCTCCTGAGATATGTACTTTCATATATATTCTAGGATATGTGTAGGGGACTCTCTCCACCTTTGGAGAAGCCTGCATTCTCTCTTGAGCGTATTACTCTCTCTCACTTTCTCTCCCTTCTTCCCCCTCCTCAAAGTCCCCAAATAAAATCTGTTTCTACTTTAAAAAAAAAAAAAAGAGGGCCATATCTTATGGTTTAATCTTTTTTTGTCCTCTGAACAGATGAATCCTAATAGCCACATCATCCTGTGTGGTCAGATTTCTCAGTACAACAAAGATGTCCCATATCCTCCTCCACTACCTGCTGCTGTAGAGGCAATCAGGAAGGAAAGAAACATCTCAAGGTATGTTGTACTCTTTGGCCTTTTTACCAGATTCAAGAGGGTTGATCATAGATACATGGGGCCAGAGAGAAAGTACAGAGGATAGGGTGCTTCCCTTACCCGTGGCTGACCCGTGTTTGATCCCCAGCATCCCATCTGGTTCTCTACCCCCCACCCCTGCCAGGAGTGATCCCCGAGCACAGAGGCAGGTATAAGCCCTGAGCATAGCCAGGTGTGGTCCAAGCCTCCAGCCCTCAAAAAAAAAAAAAAAAAAACCAAAGATACAAGGGTCATGGATATGGCTCAAAGGGATGGAGAACATGTCTGGTATGTGCAAGGACCCCAAGTCCCAGAGCCTTGCCTCTTAGTGCTGTCTGTAGCCCTGGTGGTGCCCCGTATCACTCCAAATACCATAACTCCAGTCTAGACACTGAACACTCATGCCACAGGCCACATCTCCCATCCTTCTCCTCAGTGCCACTGAGAGTGGCTGGCCCCTGTTTGAAAAAAATCATAGAGAGGCTGGAGTGATAGTACAGCAGGTAGGGCATTTGCCTTGCACACGGCCGACCTGGGTTCGATTCCTTCGCCCCTCTCGGAGAGGCTGGCAAGCTACCAAGAGTATCTCGCCCGCACGGCAAAGCCTGGCAAGCTCCCTGTGACATATTCAATATACCAAAAACAGTAACAAGTCTCACAATTTGTTGTGAGACGTTACTGGTGCCTGCTTGAGCAAATCGATGAACAACGGGAGGACAGTGCTACAGTGCAGAGTTTGGGGAAAGAATTTTACTTACAGAGTAATACCAGATGGGACTGTACTGTGGCACTGTAGCACTGTCCTCCCATTGTTCATCAGTTTGCTTGAGTGGGCACCAGTAATGTCTCACAACAAATTGAGACTTATTGTTACTGTTTTGGGCATATTGAATATGTCACGGGTAGCTGTACGAGGTGGACAAAATTAGAAATCTACACTTAAATCTAGAGCTGTCCCTAAAGCTGTATCTTATCAGGCACTGTGACTGAGCTCTAATATTTTTTGGAGGGGGGCACACCCAGCAGTGCTCAGGGACTTCTCCTTCCTCTGAGCTTCGGATCACTCTTAGTGGTGCTTAGGAGACCATATAGAATACTGGGGATTAGACTGGAGTTGTCCACATGCAAGATAAGAGCCTTTACTAACTCCTGTATTATTTCTCTAGCCCCAAGCTCTATTAGTTGAAGGATTAATAGAGCTCTGGAAGAATCTGATTACAATTTCTCTTATTCCCTCCACAGTCTCTCTGATCATTATTTTTTTCTTCCTTACTATAGAGAAAGATTTATGGTGCTTAATTATAAGGACAAATTTGAGTCTGGTATTCTACAGCTGAGTCAGTGGTTTAAAGAAGGAAAACTAAAGGTAAAACTTGCTTCTATATAATATTTTCTGGCTACTTGATATGCTTTTGCTATAATGAACTTATTATAGTATACATTTCATAATACAAATTCTAACTAAATTGTACTGAATATTATAAATGAACTACCTCCCCATTGACTTTAACCTCCTGATTGAGAAATTGCATTATTCCCTTTGTATAAAATTTTTTTTCTTATATGATACTGTAAGAAAGATCCCCTCACAATTGTAATAATCATCAGTTTGTCCAGTATTTATCGAATCCACATGTTAGAAGTTGTTCTTTCTCAAAAATCATGTATCTCCTTATATCCCTATTTCTTTACTATCACATTTCGTTTTTGACCTCCGCACCTCCGTGGACATGTGAGGTATGTGAGATATCTCTTGGTTATTTGTTGGAAGTTGCGAGTTGTAATCTGAGGTCCAGAAACTTTGACTAAAGATATTCTAGGAGTTGGGGATGTGGCTTATAGACCTAGATTCAAGACTTAGCACTACCAAAAAATATTCCTGAGGAAGCTGGGAGAAAATACAGGGTTCAGGGCTAAATGCTTTGCATGCTCTGGATCCCCAATTTGATCACTGCTGCTACCTCCCCAGCACCACCCAGTACAGTCCTGAAGACCCCCCAAGCACTGCTAGGTGTGGCTCTGGTGGCCCAAACACTGCAAGGCTGAACATCGCAGAGAGTGTGGCCAAGGCTTTCTGATCACTACTTGGGAGGTCCAAAAAGCAAATTAAGATATTCTTGAAACCGGCACATGATAAGCAAAGTTAAATGTGTATGTGTATGTATGTGTACTTACATTATTTAATTGGCTGGGGAGGCAGGGGGATAACTATTTTGGACCACATTTCAACAGTACACAGCTGTGCTTAGGAGTCATTCCTGGTGGTGCTCAGAGGACCATATGAGGATGTCTGCCATATGGGGCACATGCCTACACAATGTACTATCTCTCTGGCTCCTATTTTGTGGTTTTCTGTTTGCACAGCAGTTAGGTATGTACCCTAACTGCTGTTTATATATTTTCTGGAAAAGAGGGTTTTAGCAACTGAAGATCAGATAAAGGGAAAACAGGAATTCATTTTAAAATATTGATAGGAAGTATTTATTGGCTACTTATATGAAATGAAAAATAGCTTGTTTTAGACAGACTATGCTAAGTAGTACTGTTGCCTTTTGCACAAATGGGAAGTCGTAAATAGAAAAATTAAGGTTTAAAGACTATTAGTAGCTGATATCTGGCTCAGCAGTAGAATTCTTGCTTCACCCTCGTGATGCCCCAAATTCAGTATTTGGCATTAGAAAGGAAAGGAACTAAATATTTATTTTTTATTTGCAGATCAAAGAAACTATGACAAATGGATTAGAAAACATGGGAGGTAAGATGAATGTATATTTATTCTGCATATAATCAGCCCCTTCTTTTAATTCTGCTTGTCTGAATTTTTGTTTTTGTAATGAAGCTCTTCTTTCCTACAAAACCATCCTAGAGGTTATCTTAAATATATTCATCATGGGGCTGGAGTGATAGCACAGCGGGTAGGGCGTTTGCCTTGTATGCGGCAGATCTGGGTTCGATTCCCAGCATCCCATATAGTCCCCAGAGCACCGCCAGGAGTAATTCCTGAGTGCATGGGCCAGGAGTAACCTCTGTGCATTGCCAGGTGTGACCCAAAAAGCAAAATATATCTCTATCTATCTATCTATCTATCTATCTACATCATGGGAGTTAGAGAAACAGTACAGAGGGTAGAGAACTTTGCTCAGCATGCAGCCTTCCTTGGTTCGATTCCCAGCATTCCATATGTTCCCTTGAGCCTGCCCATCAAGAATGATCTCTATGCACAAAGCTGGGAAGCCAGGAATAAACCCTGAGCATTGCTGGGTATGGCCTAAAGACAAAAAATAATCATTTTTGTCTAGTTTTTTTTTTTTCTTTTGCCACATCCAGCAGTGTTCTGTGCTCAGGCCCGACTCCTGGCTTTGCATTCAGGAATCACACCCGACAGTGTTCATGATCAAACCTGTGTGCAAGACAAGCCACCTACCTGCTGTACTATATTTAAGCCCTTCCTAAAACATCTTTGCTAGTTTTTGGGCCCACAGCTGGCAGTGCTCGGGCTTACTCCTGGTGGGCTCAAGGGATCAAGGGGTTCCAGGGACCAAACCCAAGTCGGCTGCATGCAAGACAAGAGCCTTACTTGAGTTATTATTCCTTCCTTAAATATCTTAAACAAATTACGCGAATGTTCAGTTTAGTGGCATTTACAAGGAACTGTTTTCATGTTTCAAATATATTTTTTTAATTTCATAGTAGCATTTGAAAAAAAGAATAAGGATTGAGAACCTCATTTACCATCTAGGTAAATTTTTGTTTTGGGCCACACCCAGTTCTGCTCAGGGCTTAACCCTTTACTCGTGACTCTGTGCTCAGGAATCACTCCAGTGGGTTGGTGCCAGGGATTAAATCTAGGTTGGCTCCATGCATGGCAAGTGCCTGCTGTAATGTTTCCAGCCCCAGGCATTACATTTTTTTGTTTTTGTTGACCTTAGCTACATATTTACCTCTAGAGTACAGACTCTAATAAGTAATGACAACAGACTCTAATAAGTAATGACAACTGTTGTTAAAACATTTAAACATTTCTAATTTGAGTAAAAACAATTTTTAAATGACTCTATTAGGTTAGTTTGTTCTGTAACTTTGCCAGTATTTTACTCGAGGTTTCTCTTCATGAAGATTCCCTTGTACCTTCATTATTAAATTATCATTGAAGAATCATTTAATTATGTGTCTGCCCTACGGATAAACATGTTTGACAGCAATATTTGTATTTTCAAATAACTGAATTCTATTTTTTTCTTTTCAGCTGCATTCCAGTCTATGATGACAGGAGGTAACACTGGAAAGCAGATAGTCTGCATTTCGGAAGATACCTCTCTATAATCTCTCTTAATGTTTCCATCAAGGAAATACATTTATTGCTGCCAATCCTGCACATTTTCAAGATGTTAAAAAAAAAAAACAACCCTTAGGTTAAGGATAGTTTTTTTGCTTATATTATTTTTTGGGCCACACCTAGCAATGCTTAGGGCTTACTTCTAGCTCTGTACTAAGGGATCACTCCTGGCAGATTCGGGGGACCATATGCAATGCCAAAGTCTGAACCCAGGTCCACAGTGTACAAGGCAAATGCCGTACACACTGTACTGTTGTACTGTTACTCTGGTCCCCAGGTTTTTTTTTTCAATTTAAATGTAATCATAGGTGATTTTTGAGATTTGTTTATGTTTATAGGGGTCACATCAGGCAGATCTCAGTGGTCCACATCAGGTCTTGGGACCAGGCTGTTCCCATCAAACCAGACCTTTTGCATACAAAACATGTGCTCAGCCCAATCTGGCCTAGGTGTTATTCTCTTAGTTGCACAGCATAATTCTTTTCCCATCAATGTCTGTTTTACATGGAACATAAGATTGCTTAGAATAATACTAAGTCAACCGGATTTTTTTCTTTTGCTAAAACTAAAATTACTTATATTTTTACTAGATAGTCTAAACCATTAGATATTAGACAGAACTGTTAATGGATTATACAGAAGATGCTTAAAATAATATTTTAAAATATAATGCTGATGTGAGGGAGGAGATGGTACGAGTCTTGCAAGCATCTGCAGAGGCCACAGCCACAGTTCAGTCTCAGCACCATATACGGTCCCCTGAGCACTGCCAGGGGTCACTTCTGAGCGCAGAACCAGGAATCACTCCTGAGCATCCTGGTGTGGCCCAAAACCAACCAACCAGACCAAAAAAAAATATATATATATATAGTGCTTGAGGCTGGAGAGATAGTACAGAGGTTAAGACATATGCCATGCATGTGGCAGACCTTGGTTTGATCCCTAGCACAACATGATTCCCTGAAAATCTCTGGGTACAGCTGCTACAAAGGCCCCCAAGTACTGTAGGCCTGGGTAATCTCAGGCACTACAAGATCTGAAAAGCACTGTATCTTTAGGGCCTTGCATGAACTACTAGCCCAGCTAGCCAAGACACTAACTTAAAGGCAGGATGTGTATTCTATAATGTTGGAGTATTCAGAGTGTATGGCCATATGTTTGTGATAGGCAGAAGCTTTGTGTTGGTAGTAGTCCAAAAATAATTGAGGTTGGTTAGGTTGATGGGAAAACTAGGATTTACTACAGTTACTGTGTAACCTGAAATCTCAAATATGTATCATTAAAAGCATGTTTATATTAGATTAGCAGACACACAGGAGCAAAAAGCTATAAGGCAAATAGATAAAACACTACTTGAAGTTTTAGGTGCTTAATTTTTTTTTTGAGTGGAGCAAGATAGTTTTTATTGAACAAAACTTAAAATGAAATGGGAAGAGAGGAAATTTGTGTTCAAGAGAGAACACGTGTTTCTCCAGAGTGGAGAAATAAAGCAAAGAAAGAGACAAGCTAGAGAGAGATATGTTCAAAGGAGAACATGGACTTGAAGGAGCAACCTGCTGTTTAAAAAAATTTTTAAGAGAGGCCAGCAAGACACTCAGGAGCTAGCTTATGCTGGGTATGTACAGAATACTGAGTTTGACCAGGGGTGGTACTGATAGCTGCCCAGCAAGCACCATCCCTAGTGTCCAGAACTGCAGAAATTTCAGCAGCCACAAGTGAGCACTAGTGGGAGTGGCCTTTCCACCCAGTTATTGTCAGGGGAGAAAAAGATTTAAACAGCACAGGCTGCTTCAGAAAAGGTCAGGATGGGAAAATTCACAAATGGCTGTAAACATGTCACTGTCACTGTCCTCCCATTGTTCATCGATTTGCTCGAGCGGGCACCAGTAAGTCTCACAACAAATTGTGAGACTTGTTGTTACTGTTTTTGGCATATTGAATACGTCACGGTAACTTGCCAGCTGTAAACATGAATATTAAAAAAAAATAAAAGTTTGTTTTATTAATTGTAATCCTTTAAAACAGTAAACATTGAGAATATTTTTCTGAGTGTTATGCTGCTTTATAGTTACCTGTTTAATACAGTGCTGTTTTTTCTTTGTTTGGGGGCCAAACTGTCCAATGCTTAGGGGTTGCTTGAGACCATATAGAATATCGGGTTCACCATGTGCAAAGCAAGTGCCTGACTTGCTGTATTAACACTCTGGTCTGACAATGCTGTACTTTTGTTTGCAACATTAGTAGAAAATAACCTGCCATCCCGTTGACTTTAGAGGCCATTTCTTCTTGTTTCATGTATGTTTCATGTTCCATTTCTTATCCATACAGGGCTTCATCTCAGGTCTGTGTGTGACGACCTTCCAAGTTGGCCTCTCTATTTCCCACCTAGTACTTGAGCTGAGAAATCTTTACCTAAAAGTATCTCTTCAGAACCTGGAAAGATACTGTTACATACAGCATCATTCTCTTCTGAAAAGAGGTGCTCTTTTGTTTTCTAGATCAACGTGTTAAATTACCATTACAGTACCCAAACTAATCCTCCCTCCCCCCTAAGTCCTGAAGACTCCTCTTTAACCAGACAACTGCCTTTTTTTTTTTCCTTTTTGGGTCACACCCTTCAGTGCTCAGGAGTTACTCCTGGCTCTGCACTCAGGAATCACTCCTGGCGGTGCTCGGGGGACCATATAAGATGCTGGGAATCGAACCCGGTTCGGCGGCGTGCAAGGCAAACGCCCTGCCCGCTGTGCTATCACTCCAGCCCCTAGGCAAATGCCTTTAATTCCTGCCCTGCTACGTGCCCTGCGACAATCTTAGCCGAGTGCCTTCTGCATTCAAAACGAGTCATTTTACAAGGCCAACAAGTTATTCCATGTAGAGCCCGTGGACATCCAGCCAGGACATCCGAGAATGCTTGACATCCCACTATCGGGAACTTCATCTCCCCCCTTCCCCCCAAAAAACATGCGACGCGAGTCTCGTTCCTTACCCCATCCCATTATGCACCTAACTGATTTCTCCCTCGGGAGGGGGCTGTCAAAGCTTCTAGATGTCTTTCCGGAGAACTTGGCTACTAGTCCTTGAGCCATCGCCTCTACTTTAGCAAGCAGCACTGACCTCCGCCGACCTGAAAACCAGCCCAGGATGCCGCAGGAAGGCCGTGACGTCAGGGCTAGGACTCACGCCCCCCTGATTTTCGGCCTGGGCCGAGCGCCGAGCCCCGGAGGTCCCAGGGAGCAAGAACCGAAGCAGGAGGATGAGCGGCTCCCCGGGGGCGGCCCGCGACGCTCGGGGGGGGGGGGGGGGGGGGGTGGAGAGGGGCGGGGGCGGCCGCCAGACTTCCGGTCCCGCGCGCGCCGCTTCCGGCGGGAGCCGGAAGACGCCGTGTGTGGACGGAATTCGGGGCCGACGGTCGGAGACGCCGGGCTGCCGGGGACGCGAAGGTGGGTTAGCTGGGGTCGCCCCGGGCCACACCCACCAGCGGGCGGCCGGGGACCCTGATCGGGGCAGGGGGTAGGCACCGGCGGCCCGGGGGCTGGGGTCCAGGCCGCCCCCGGGGAGGACAGGGAGACCCCCCGCCCCCACCCCCGCGCTCTGGGCACCTCTCCAGGGGTTGGAGGGCCTGGGAGCGGCCGAGCTGACGCCCCGCGGGCCCTGGCCTGCGTGGACCTGGGCGGCTCGGGTTGCAGCCACTCGGCTCGGTTCCGGGGGCAGAGGGTCCGGAAGCCCACCGTCCGGACAAAGCCCGAGCCGGCGGGGGCCGCGGTCTCAGGCCGCTGCCCGCCGCGACACTGCGAGCCCAAGCCACCGCCCTCGCCGGTCCCTGCCGCCGCGTCCCGGCCGAGCCCCGGGCGGGAGAGCTGCGGGCTGCGCCTCCTGCCCCCCGCGGCTTTCCGCGCCGCCCGGCTGGGGGCTGCCCCCAGCTTCACCCCGACCTCGGAGCTTCCTGCTCAAGGAAAAGACTTCCCGTAGTTCGTTGGGAGTTTTAGCCCACTTGCTCCCCGAGGCTCCGAACAGCTAATTTAAATACCCTTTGAAAGCTCAGTCTTATTTCATTCGGGACTTAAGCGTTTGTGTACTTCTTTGCGCTGGCCTCGGCAGCAGTAGTAGCCTAGAGAGGAAAAGGAGTATATTTCAGTGGCAGGCAGGGGCGTTCGTTGTCAGTGAGAATTCTCTTTGGTGCTTTTGTGCTTTGTTTTCTTTAACCACATCCGAAGGGACGAGAGGGCTGCTATGGGGTTGGGGTGTGGAGGGGACACCACCATGTGGTGTTGGGGATCTAACGCTACAACCCTTTGAGCTGGCTCCTTTGGTGTTGCCCTGAAGGGGACAGAGGAAAATGAACTAAACTTGATGTTAGATTTTTTTTTTTTAAGTTTTACATCTATGCAGACTGACCAGCTTTTTCTCTCTGTTGATTAAGGAGTGTGCTAGTTTATTCAGCAAATATTTCTTAAATGCTTAGTTGGTACAAAGGAATGTGCTATATTAATAGCAGGAGGGCCAGTACATTCAAGGAACCACAGCAAGTGAGGAAAATAATGCAAGTAGACAACACCAGTTGCTGAACAGAGGAAGGACAGGTTTGTTGGTACTGGAAAGGAATAGAGACTTTTCTTGGAGCACGTGACATATAAATTGGGAGTTACAGATTAAGGAATTCCACCACATCAGAACTGGTGGTGGGTGTGCACTGCTGGTTTAAGAACTATGCCATGCAGACTTGCACTGAGATCGGTGTGTTCATTTATTTAGAATGGTCCAGGGTGCGCTAAAGTTTAAGGGTTTGTTAAAAACAAAAACAGCAGATGCTGTTACAGAGGACATAAAGTAGAATACTAGAAATTCTGTGTTTCGGGATTTAACTCTTCTGAGGCATTGAGTAAGAAAAGTGACATAAGCCTTTCCGTTTTGGAAAGATTAACTCTTGTGGCTGTGGAAACAATAGATTGGGAAAGGGAATTTCAAGGGCAGCATGACCAGTTGGAAGCATATTTTAGTAGTGAGAAAGTATTGAAAGACCTAAATAAGGCGATCCAGATGGAATTAGAACCAGTGGTGTTTAAGTATGGAGGATGAAAGAGATAGTTAATAGACCTTGAATTTGCAAGTGAGTGGGAGGAAGATGAGGCAATAATTGAAGTGGATAGTATAGGAAGAACAGGTTTGGTGGGGGTATGATAATTTGGATTTTGATCATTGTTAGGTTTGAGGTGTTGAATATCCATGTGAAGATATACACAGCAATCATTAAGAAATGAAAATTCGGTGCTCCGAAGAAAAGTCAGGAATAGAGTCAAGTATTCTGATGTTTAGCTGAGGACTCAAGGGGCTAGAGGGCTTGCTTTGAATGCGGGAGGACCCTGATTAGACTATGTGGCCCAGCACCACATAGTCTTCTGAATATCACCAGGGATAGCCCCCAACACCACAGATTATTTGTAGTATCATTTATGATACCAATATTTGTTCAGTACCTACTAGGTACTTATAAGAAAGTTTATGTGGAAATCCTTTGAGCTCATAACTCTATAGTACTCGGGACTTATTCCTGACTGTACTTGGGGATCACTTCTGACGGGGCTCAGGGGACTCTGTGTGGTGCTGGGAATGAAATCTGTGTTGGGCAAGTGCAAGGCAAGCTCCTCACCGAACTTAGTATCTCTCCGTCCCCTGGAAATGACTCTTGGAGACTTAAATTCCTTATGAATCACAGTACTTTGCCAGGCCCTGTGCTAGGTGAGATGCAGTGGGGAACAGGACAAGCCAGTTACTATTTTGCTTATAGAATTTAAGAGGCAACCAGTCAATAAATGAATATATAAAGACAAGAAAAATGAGAAATTATGATAGGAGCTATAGTAAAGAGAGTAAAGACAGAAAATAATGGTGGAAGAAAGGTGGAAAGTCTTGGATAAGGCAGTCAGGAAAACTTTCCTAAGTGAGTGTAGTTGAAATGAATCCTAGAAAATGAAAAAGAGTGATGGGAGAGACTAGGAAGTGAAAGCTTTCTAAATAGAAGAAATGACATGTGCTAATCCCAAACACAGAGAAGAACTTAAAGTGTTCAAGGAATATGTAGTAGATTCAGCTAGTTAACAAGATTCCAGAGTGGGGAGAAGTAGCAATGGGTCATATGAGGTTCTACTAGCCAGGATAGGAGTTGGGATTGGTAATATAACAGGGCTCATGTTTCTTTCAGCCTGGAGTGATAGCACAGCGGTAGGGCGTTTGCCTTGCGCACAGCCGACCCGGCCGAGCCGGGTTCGATTCCTCTGCCCCTCTCGGAGAGCCCGGCAAGCTACCGAGAGTATCTCGCTCACACGGCAAAGTCTGGCAAGCTACCTGTGATGTATTCGATATGCCAAACACAGTAACAAGAAGTCTCACGATGGAGACATTACTGGGCCCACTCAAGCAAATTGATGAACAACGGGAGGACCGTGACCGTGACATGTTTCTTTTGTATTATGCCGCAGTGAGGGGCACATACTCCTGGTGGTGCTTGCTTGTCAGGACCATGCAATGCCTGGTATTGATCCAGGTCTCCAGCATGCAAAACATGCACACTAGCTCTTTGAGCTATCTCCTCCCACCAGATGACATTTGCTGCTATGAAAGGGATAAAGTGGAGGGAGATAAGGAAAAATACAGACCAGTTAGGCAGTAACAGTTCTGCAGCAGTGTTTCTCAACAGGCTGGGGGTGAGTAGGAGGCAAATGGAAGAAAATCCAGGACTATCCGTATTCCAAGAGGACCACAGGTGAAAATTATGTCAATGGGGACCACTGCACAAGAGGAGGGGGTAAGCCGTTTTGACTAGGGTGGGAGTTGGTGGGGAGAGGGGTGCCCCACAGTGGAGAAAAGGTTGAGAAACTCAGTTGTAGAGCACTTGCAATCCCTTTTGACCAAGAAATGTGGCACAGGTGAGCCTTGCCAGAAATGCCTTGTCTTCAAGGATAGAGTCATTATATGGTTGATTTAACTTTTGGTCAGTGCATCACCTTTTAGTGATGCCAATTTTTTCTTGACCCTCAAATTTCAT